CTGCGTGTCGACCACCACCAGCGTCTCCACGTGCAGCTCCTCATTCCTGCGGGGCTTTAGGACAGCGCGCTTGCTGCGCGGGCCGGGCTGGTACTCGTCGGGCAAGACGAACAGGTCCTCCGCGGGGGGCTTGGGCATGTCTACGGCGAGCAAGCGAGAGCAAACTCACCACCCAGACCGGCCCTGGGACCCCGGACGGCGAAACGAAATTTCAAAAGGAACGTTCGTGACACGAGCCGGAGAACCCTTAACTCTGCGACGCGCACCTTGTGTTAAGGCGAAACAGACATTTAAGAAAAGTCCACGCAGTCCGGTGTCACGGAAATCGCCGCGAGAATCACCTGCGCGGAATGTCGTCCTGATCTACAACGGGAGAGGGTCGTTTGGGTCGAAGGACTAGCCAGCCTCCGGAAGCACAACGTCCAAGGACTGGAGCCCAAGGCTTCGTGGCACCAACTCGCCAAAGAGTATGACAAAGCGACCAACGGTGCTGTCGCACGTGACAGCGCTGGCTTTCGCCGGTCCCTGATTCGCAGACTGGGAGGGACCTGGCAGGTCGCGAAGCTGGTCCCACGTCTGCAGCACGACCGGTTCGTCTGCAGCGGTCGAGGCGGTTTCACTGACTGCTCTGGACGCGTGCCCCTCGCCGCAGAGCCGGCTTTCCTAGAAAGCACCATAAATCCTGACCTAATCTAATTAGAAGACAAAACACACTCCGTCCCCTTGAAGCAAGCCTTTTAAAAATAGTTCTGGCGTTTATCATCAGTAAGTTTTAACTTCGTTAAAAGCGTTCTGGTTTAGTGATGCCTCAGAGGAGGCGGTGAGCAGTGCTGTAGGTGGAAACAGACTTCGAAACGCCCACCTTATTTACATCCCAAGACTGTTCCATCCCTACTTACGGACCACGCTGCTCGAAGATGCTATTTCATTTGACTGGCGCCCACGCCAAATGCATTTTCTCTCTCTTTGCTAAAATACCCCCACTCTTAAATGTTCCTTTTGGAGGAGAGTAGCTGCCCAGCTAACGTTTGGTAAGTACACACTATGCACCGTCACACTGATGTAATTCGCACAGACGTGACTCTGCCCTAAGAGCTGTCTCTTTGTGACTTATTCGGTCTCCACACCCACCCTGCGTAGGGACGAGGCCGTGGGGACTCAGGTGGGAACGGAACCTGCTCGCGGTCCCCGCCTCGAAAGGGCTGGACATGGTGTGTGGTGCCAGGACTTTGGCCGCAACCTCCACCGGCAGACACATGTGCGTAAGAGGACAGCGACACGGCACGGGGCACGGCGTCTGCTCGGGCCCCGTCCACGGGAACGGGCAGAAGCTCCGGGGCGGGCCCCTCACTGGCGGGGGCTCTGACACTGCAAACCACTGGCTCTTCAATCTGGCAACTACAGCTTCTTCCTTAAATCTCAGTTCCAGCTCCAAACCCATCGGCAGCGCCTGCGGCCAGGAGCAGCGATGATTCCTGAGCCTGAGCTTGATGGTCACTACTGACTTCAAGCAAATCGGTGGACCTTTGTTTGCGTTTTCTACAGAATATGCAAAAATTCCCTCGTTTTCTGACCCAGAGACTCTCATGGGGAGAACTCGGTCCCTCTGTCACCGAACCTGAAGGCCAGGATTCCCCCAGGGCGTCCAACATGGAAATACTCATGCACAAACAGCGGGGTCCTGAGAGGTGAGTGCTTTGGCCTGGAGGTAATGAGTGTTGATTCTGCTAGTCACGTGGCCCCCAACCACCCAGGGACCCAGGGGAACAGAACCGCCACGTGCCTCACAGGGAGGACACAGAAGTAGCGGGCAAAGCGAACGGTACCACATCGATACTAATGTTTCCACTGGCAAGCGGCAATCTATGGCCTTTTCTCTTTAGTTTTATTATAAAAACAACAGCTACCTTTTTTCTCATTTTCCAAATACAAAACTTACTGTACACTTCAGTTGTCCTTTTTAAATAACTTCCTCCCATCAACCATCCCGAGGGCTGAGACCTAGAACACCTGTGCAGGTAACGCACACATGCACACACTCACACACGCGCACACGTGAGCACACGCAGCCACACTTAACACAATAGATTTACTGCCCAGCATGCACAGCCGTGCCTGAGCTGTCCCCGGCCTGAATGACTCCGATCACTGCCAGGGAAGGATGAAAGGGTTCTATTTATTTCTGAGACGTCAGAACTGCTGGGTGTCCTCAGGGCTATGCGACATTTGCCTCAGACCTGTCATGGCCTGTTGATAAAGGCTTGGTGATAAACTGTAGGTAAATTATGTCATGCATAGACTACCTTTTGATGTGGCAGGTCAAGCATATAACTATGTGTGGAGATAAATTACTTCGGCAGGAAAACTATGTGGGCTTTAATAAATCTCGACCTCGAAAATATAGAATTACTGCGTAGACATGCCAGAGCGCCTTTGAAGATGGGCGGTGTGTCATTTAATCTGTTCAGGGAACAGATCATTAAAAAAACGAAAACATCGACCATAATCTGTCCATCCATCACGGAGTTTTATACTGAACATACAGACAATGGGCATTCCTTGAAATCATCACTTGAATTCAGCCAGGCCAGTCAATCAATGTCACCTTGGGGGTGACATTGAAAGAGAAATATCCATCGGCTTACGTAAACGTCAGAATCGTCAAAGACACAAAGAGACGTGCCCTTACGTACATTTTTTGCGTCTTCCACAGAAATGCTGCTTCTGCGGGCGCCTGGGGTTCCAGCCGCCGTGCGGGTGTCGTTTCTCGTGGTAGAAAACGTGGCTCTTCTCCAGCTCTCGCTGCCTCTGGACCATCACCGCCTGGCGTCCCGCCGGGGCCCGCGGTTCTGCGGACCTCTTGTACAGGATGTGAGAGGGACGGCCGCCCCCGGCAGAGTCGCCCAGCTCCTCCGCTAGGTGTGAAGGCAGTGGCTTTAAGAAGTAATCCGCCTCTTGCGTTCGTATCATACCCGACTGCAGAAACGGGAGGAAGGAAGCAAACGCGGTTACATTTCCGACTGGAGGCGCGGCCAGCAGTGCAAGCGTTACCCGCCCGTGTCTGCTGGCGAGCACGCCGCGTCCTCCGGTGAGAGTTCACGTTCAAGCGTTCGCACGCCCGGGGAGAGAGTGACACACGGGAAAGGCCCGAGTCTGCGCTCGTCCCGTCTGCGCCCTTTTGGGAAGGCGTGTCGGGATGGCCCACGCCTCGACTCCAGCGACAGAGAGAGAGCACACGACACACCAACGGCGGTTAACTTAGACCGAAGAACGGGGAGGAAGGCACACCTGTACCACCTGTCGCAGGTGCGCCTGCGACTCGGAGCCCTGGCGTGAGTCTCGCCGTGGTCTGAGTCTCGCTCGGTCGGGACGCAGCGTGCATCCGCAACCCCCAGAGGAGCTGCGCGTCGGGCTGGGCTGTCCGGCGTGAGCTGGTCCTTGTGCGCTGCACGCCGGCGGGCACGAAGAAGCCCTTCCCAGGTCTTGGGAAAGGGCAGACACAAGTCGTGGGAACAGCAGGGTTGGGGCTGGGGGATTTAAAAGGGGAGGCCAGGCTTGCTGTACATGCAGAGATTCAGCACCGTCCCGGGGTTCCCACGGGGCGGGAGAGGGGGACCTGGTAAATGATCTAGGGAGCCAGCAGCAGCACCGTGGGGGGCAGGCCTCCGGCACCATGGAGGGGGGGCGGCCTCCGGGGCCCACATTCCAGCCCCAGCGGACAGGGAAACACTTGGGGGTTTCGCTCTGGGTCATGTGGAGGCGGTGGCCTCTCGCTCCAGGCCCCACGCAAGCGGCCTGGGAAGCTTTCTGGCCTGGCCTCCGAGAACTCTAGCGGCTGGAGGAGAACACGGCCGCTCTCTGCAGTTTGCGGTCGTAGGAAGGAGCGGAAAGCCCGGGGCTGAACCGACGGCTGCGGCCGGCTGCGTTTCATTCGTCCTCTTTGCATTTAATCCGGCCCAGGGGTCGCGTGATCCGCCATCGCTGTGTCTGGCCCAGTGAAATACCACGACGCCAAGCCCTTCCACACTATTCTGAGTAGTTCGAGTGTTAAACAAAATCATTTTTTGCTTTACAAAACCTTTTCTGACACACTAACAATTCCGTGCTTAGCAGACCACAGGCCTGGGTTCTCTAGCACCTGCTACTCAGCACGCACCCCAGCGCTTATCGGCCAGTTCTGGGCCATCATCTGTGTGACCCTGGACGATACGCTCAGCCTCTCTGTGCTGATTTGTCATCTGGGCAGGGGACAGAAGGACAGCCACTTGCCACGAGTCACCATAACGTATTGTAAGCGCATGACTTACAGTAAACAGGCAAAGGAGATCATGCTGAATTGACAAAGCAATGGGTGCGAAGCATCAGACGCCACCCTGATAATCCAGGGGCTGGGGGTTTTCTCGGATGTGATCCCTCCGAAGCCCAGTGTCGATGCACTCGAGACCACGGTCGCCCCAAACGCGTCTTTGCTTCTGGCCTGATGCCTTCCCTTATACACTCTTCCTGGCTTTCTCGCCTGAAGCACCTGTGCTCGGTGACAGCTGTTTCTCAGGTTCAAAGCTACATTCTGGGTGGCTGGGGTCGAGAGGACCAGATCCTCGGGCCAGAGCGAACCGTCGTAGCTGGTGGATTTCTAAATTTTTATTAAGTAGTTAAACATTGTACTCATTTAATGTATAATTTAGTCTGAGTTACGATATCATATCATATTTAAATCATCCCCAAATCCATTAAACACATAGAACTTAGCAACTTATAAGTCCTATTTGGACATCCCTTGATAATCAATAGATAATGAAAAATAGCAAAAATAAGTTACTCCATTATCTTGCTGGATGAGTTTGCAAATTTATTTAAAAGGTAGGCAAATCACGGAAGTTTAATGTTTTCTTCTTATCAAGGTTTTGCTGTGCTGAATCAAGAACATTTATTTGGAAACTCATAAAATGTCTAGCGTCCACCTGCCCACAGTAAACACCAGGATGTCAGTGGAGTGGATTATTAATTGGGCTTCAGCAAAGACTAGTATCCCCAGGCTTCGCACAGGAGCTCTCCCAGGGCCTGCATCTCGTGGCTCGTTCTGTACATCATTTTACACCGGGAAGCCCACCAGACACTCGTGGTGCGTTCAGAAGGAAGTGGAGAACGTGTGCCATGTACATGCTGGGAAAATACTGTTTCTGAGCAACATAAGTAAAGCAAATGTTGAATATTGAAAGTAGGGTGTTTACTGCATTACGTGTGTCATTATTCAAATGAAAAGTTGGTAGGTTTCTATTAACGTATATGTATTTATAGAAACTGTCTACGAAAGTTGCACGAATCAAAAAATAAAATGGAAATTAGGAAGGAACTGATAAATGCCCAACCATGGCGACTGTTTGTCCCGCGATGTAACAGATCCCCACTGAACCGGTTCCAAGCTTGTCTCAGGTGACACCGTGAGCGCTTTTCAAGACAGCTGGCTGTCGGTCAACACCGTGAAAACCTGATCAGGCTCATTTAGAGAAACAGGCCTTTCGATTCCCTTTTAATTCCATTTTATACTCTTTTCCTTTGCCTTTTCTCCAAAAGTGTGATTGGTTTGGGGAATATTCTACTCATCCTAGTCTTGTTAGTGATGTCTCATCAACACGAGACGATTTCAATGCTTACGGAACTGTCGTAACCTGCTTTTTAGTTCCTTATGGCCTCGGGGTCGACCATGAACCTGATCTGTGGACAGCCCATCACTTGCTAAGTGCCCGAGATCTTGATGTGAGTCTTGATGCATGATCATTCGTGAGGCTTTGAAAATCAAAATCAGCCAAAGTGTCTAAGAAGCTTAACCAACCAAAAGGTCCCCCTTCCCCAGAGGCTGCGTCTGATTCCTGTTACTCCCGTCTCTGGGCGCTTGGCTTGGGCGCTGGGCTTCCTCAACCCTCCTGTCTTCAAGGACAGCTGGGGATGATGTGCTGGTCTCAGCAATCACCCATCATCCCAATCCAAAATCAGTCAGGGCTTCAACGTTCAGTCATTTGCTCAGGTCCAAACCTGGTCCCAGGTCACATTGCTGTTGCTCGTTGAGTTTCAAAAGGCTAACGTTTTGACACCTGACCCATAGAAAAGGTTTCTCATCCAAGTTAAACACTGTATCTTATTCATTATGATGTCATTCACGTCATCGTCACCTGTCAAAGAGGACCGTGTCCAGGCTTCTCACATACTTGGTTCCGCCTCAGGGCTATGAGGTCAGATCTGTCACACCTGTTGCCACCTGGCGGGGGTGGGGTGGGCAGGTGGAGTACAGGAAAGGCAGGTGGGGCTGGAGGCAAGGGAAGCAGGATTGTGAAAGGGTCAGTATGAGGCTGGCTGGGGAGTTGACACCCAAGGGTGTGTCTTCCAGGAGCTGGCTTTTTCTGGGCCTTTTTCCATGTGCATGACTTAGACTCAGCCTCTTTGTTAAATGCTGCCTGGATCTTGTGCCCTGGGCAGACCGGGCCAGCGTAGCGACTAGTGGAGAAGAATAAGCCCGACGTGGGCGAAGCGCCAGTGCTGGGACCGTGTCACCATCGGCCACGCTCGGACCAGGGCCACGATGTAGGGACTAGCAGCTGCCTGTTTGTAGGGAAGGAGAGCGCGGCTGGAACACCCACACGTCCATCGGCTGCTGAGTGGCACCTGAACGTGGCACCTGCTCACGATGGAACGCCAATCCGCAGCAACGGCCGTGCGCACGACGCGCTCGTGAACGTGCCTCGACGCAAAGCGCCACGACGAGCGAAAGACGCCGGAAGCAGAGGCCTCGCGTCGCATGGTTTCGATTCTACCAAACGCCCCGAAAAGGCGAAGCACCAGAGGCCGGAAGCGGAGCGTGGTCTCGGGCCAGGGCGGGGAGCAGGGGGGCTGCCGCTGGGAGGCGGGGCGGTGGCGACGGTCTGAACACGGATCGTGCGATGGCCACACAACCGAACACTTACGAAAACGTCACTGGATCGTGCGCCGAAATTGGTGAGCTTCGCTACGTAAATGACACGTCAATGAAGCATTAAGAGGTGAAGCAGAGGCTCTGGGGACAAGAACACGCAGCCAGGACACGGCCAGGTCACCAGGCTTCCCGCGCCCGCCCCCTCCACGCCGTGATGCCTCCTGGGACGCAGTCACTGGGAGACGCGCCCTTGGAAACCACGGCCCGACGAACATCGCGGCATCAAGTCCAAGGCCAGCCGAAGGTCGAGAGAGCACAGAGGTGAATGACAAGGCCAGCTGGGCGTTGTTTGTGGAGTCTGCCGCCCTCCGAACATCCAGCCAGGATTCTCAAAACCTTCTCTCCTGAGAACCGTCTGCGCAGCTCAGAGGTCCATCCCCTCCCCCCGCTCCCCCAGGTGACCTGACTCAGCAGGTCTGGGGGGAAGTGGTTTTGTGACAACGTGTTGCTTTAATAAGTTTCACAAAGGCAGTGCCGAGGCACGCCCAGGGCGTGTGTCCCTGAGGACCATGGGACCGACACCCTGCGTCCTCCCGCTTCCCGGCCCTGAGCCCAGGACGCAGGACAGACACGGCCCGCTGGTTTGTCAACATCTAGCGCACCTTGGCTGGACTTGCGAGGGCGCCATTAGACTTGGCATAAAGCCTGTTATAATTAAGTTTCCTTATTTTCGAACAGTGGAATGGTGACTTTAGACACTAATATTTTCTGATGGTAAATGAATAAATATCAAAACTATGCAAAGTACAACTCTCCATTAAGTTCGCTGGACCAGACCGAAAATTGGGCCAAATATTGGCTTTTCTAGCATAGGGCCTGAAAATGGTCGTTTATACCGACCTTGTGTGGGCTACATATGACCTTCTAGGCAGTTCCTTTAAACACTGTTACCCTGGATACCAGATCTGAGAACTCACCAATCCCAGCGGAGGTTACATATGACAGGTAAACGCTCGTGTGCTTGTCGGAGACCCGAGGGGACTGTGAAGGTGTCACCTGTCCAGTTTCC